TTAAAAATAGAAATTATTATTAATTTATTTACTTTTTGTATTTATTTTTTTTATTATAAATAAGATCTATCTATTTTATAATTTTTCTTTAGATTTGAATACTTTTAAATAATAAAAATAATTATAAGTTATAAAATTAAAACTATTTATATTATATTTTATTTTATTTACAAATATTAACAAAATAATCTTATATTATTATCTAAATACTACTTTTATTAATATTGTAATATTAGTTTTATTATGATAATATTACTAATTTTGCTATAATAGTTTTACTAACTTTGCTATGCTAATTTTGTTATGAATATTATACTTATAAAATTATCTAAAAATATCTACTAATAATATTATCTTAATTATTATTTAATAAAATATAACTAAATAATTATTTAATAAAAATGTGAGTATAAAATAATAATATTAATAAATTATATATAAAAATCTATATTATAATAATATAAAGTATAAATAAATATTAATTATATTAATTTATATATTTAAATCTATAAATATTAATTATTTATAATATTTAAGTTTCTTTAATAATTTTAAATATATAAATATAATATTTTTAGTTAATTATTAAAGAATATAATAATTTTAATAAAATATTTTTGTTTTATTAAATAAAAAATAGATTTCAAAATATAAAATTTTTAATAAAATAAGTTTCTATAAATTTATAAACTTTATATTTAATATTTATTACTTTTTTATATATTAACTTATATATATATGTTTCAAGATCTAATTTTATTTTTATATATTTTTTAATAATAATTATAATTCTAAAAATAAATAATTTTTAATTATCTTTATTTTAACTAAACTTTTAATAATTTTATTTATTTTATTTTATTAACTTCTAATAAAAAATATATAAAATTAAGAGAGTTTTTATATTATTTTACTTGAATTATCTTTGAAAAAATTATTCAAATAATTTTAATTTTTACAAAATATAGATTAAATAATTTTATTTTTATTATTTAATATTTTATAAAATAACAAATAAAAATTTTTTAAGTATTATTATTTTTATATTTATAAAAATTTTATTTTATTTAAATATTTATAATTAATAATTAATAATTATTATTAAAAAGATGATTCTATTTTTTATCTAATATAAGATTTAATATTGAAAAAGTTATAATAATTAAAGATATAATAAAAATAATAACTAAAGAGATAATAAATATGATAACTAAATCAAAAAGTGAAAAAATATTTTTTTTCTAATATTAAGAAAAGAAAAAATAGTTAATATCTTTAATCTTTATAAAAAATGAAATGAATAAACAAAATTTAAATTACAAAAAAAAGAACTTACTATTATGAAAAAACTAAATCAAATCAAAATTAAAATCAAAATCAAATCAAAATCAAAAAAACAAAAATAAAAAACAAAAAACAAAAAAACAAAACATTTATAATTTTCTTATCATTATGATATTTATCATCTAACATTTATCTTCCTCAACAAATCAGAATTTTATCCGCATTGACCAATCATAATCATGATTTTTTCACGTGATTTGTCTTCGCCCCTCATTTTGGACATAGTCCGGACAATCCTTGATGAAAACTTGATATCTTCCAAACGATTTTTTTTCATAGGACTGCTGAGAACTGGTTGATAATTAATTTTTTTCGAGCATTATTGCTTGGTCGAGAGCATCCTTTTCGTTGGAAGTTCTTTGGCATCATTTTTACTTGGTAGTTTATTCTTAAAATGACGAAAAGAAACGTATTATTTTTCTTTTCCTATTTGGCGAAGAAAAATTATCTAAAGTCATACCCGATTCTTAAATTGGTTTTATTGTCCTCTTTAATATTACGAATAACAATTTCATCAATTCCGGAGTATTTCTTACATGAGTTCCTGCGCATAGATGAGTCAAAAATTATCGTTAGCTGAATTAACAATCCTTTCCTTGCTTCTCTGAGTATCAGAAGATATTTCGAACCGAAAACAACGAACGCTTGACCGTTAGGAAAATGGTTGCTTCTGACGCCTTTCAATGAAGGAAAAAATCGGCTAAATGCATCTTTCGAGCAAATGACCTGCTGAATGTAAGCGAGAGTAAAGAAGATGCTTTTCCATGTCAATTACTTTAACTTTTTTTCTTTTAAACAATTTCTTTTTCCTTCATAATAGCGTGTAATTATATATGGCCTTCATTACGAGGTGCTACTAATTTAGTGATATTATAGTGTTTATTATTTACTTTCAAATGACCTTTGTCCGCGGGCTGCCCGTCACCTTGGGGGGGGGGGTGAAAAATAGGTTTATCGAATACAATGTAGTTACCTCTTGACTGCCTACAATATTTCTGCCTCCAATTTATCTAAATAAGTTTCATCATAATATATTTTTTTCGTGGAAACATTTGGTCATTTTTTTTATGGTGGATCAACCGATTACCCTCTGTGTGCAAAACAGACGCTCGATACAGGCCCGTTAAACAAATATAATTTTTGTTTATTACTTTGTCTATAACTTGTTTTCTGATTTTTCCTTCATTTAATTCATTTTTCAATTCACGAATTCGGTCTCATTTTCTAGACGATTTGCTTTTGGATAAAGATAATTATCATAATAATTCAACCTATAACAGGAATACAATTCAGAGTTTACCTAAATCTTTCTCGAACTCTTGCTTTTCTCGTTCTTTTTGCCTCGAATCTTTTTTAAATAACAGTTCTTTGTTCACGTTCATTAACAGATTTTTAAGGAAATCGAACTCCTGAGTCCTAGTATCACAAATTAGTGCGTTAAACCACTTCACTTGTTACAATAAAATTGTAATTTGCTTCGCTTCGTTTTTTATTTGTTTCTATAATTTAACGTTTTTTTTCTAAATTAAAAAACGCAAGGAAAAAACTGCCCTATATAACTCATTATAATCACAACATTTGCATATTGCATATCCGTCTACTTTCTTCTTAAAACCCAGTAGGATAGCGATACTCATAAAAAGTAATAGTTTGAAGTGTTCATTCATCCATAGACCTATAGAATTTTAGTCCATCTCAAGTTAAAGAAAAGTATATAATATGATTTGCATGACAGCAAAAAAACTTGTTCAGATACGACAATTCAGGTTTAACAACAAAAATGATCGTTATATCAAACATGAAACAATGAACGATGCAAACTACAAAAATAACCAAGATATAGATCTGATAATACAAGTTCAAACTGCGACAATAATAACAGAAGCATATTCTACGATAACAGATACTCATCGAAATCCAAAGAAACTGACTAGGTTCAGATTATTACACGGGTAAATATTTTAAATAAGTATTCATATTAAATATATTAGAACGAATAATATTAACCAAATTGTCTTTTTATTCAGCATCAAATTACATACATGTACATCAATCTGTTTTTGTCGTTTAACAATATATTTTTCGCTATTGAAAATGTGCAACTTTTATCCACGACTATATCTTTTGCACGACGTCCAACTTTTATGCGTTCTTCAAGTTTAATTATATCTTGCATATAGATATTGTTTACTCATTGTATTCCAATATCATAGTATTCAAATAGCTGATAATAACCTTTGATTATTACAGTCAGCATGAAGTGTGATGGCGAACAGATTTTTAGTTCTGTTGAGATATGCTATATTTTTCCTGTTTACTATAATCATCCTTCTTTATCATCAAAAAACTAAGAAAAATTTTGATCCTGAGATCTGGAAGAACTTTTGACTAAATCTCATTGCAATTCTGCGAAAATTTTCTTAAATATATTATACTCATGTTCATTCTTGTAAATGATATAATATTTATCTTTATAAATATTCAAGATTTCAATTATTTACTTTTTAATTATTCATATAAAGCCTCTTTGAAAAATTTTCATGAAATATTTGTGATGCAGCATAAAATATGCATTTTGTTATGGTTTTAATTTAATTAAGGCTGGATCTCAATTTTATAAGAAGAACTAAGATAATAGTACAGTATAACAAAAGTTGAACATATTGCAAAAAAGTTTTCATTATATTATGATCTGGTCAAAAAGATTTGTATCTCAGATAAATATTAATAGATTATTTTTTCAAAATAAAATTTTAATTCTGTCTTATTTAATTAAGTTATTAGGTATTG